ATGACTATTAAGCATTTTTTTGTATCTAAGAAAAGTATTTCGTGCTATTTCCATTCGGTATTTGATTTCTTTGGAATAATTCCAATTTTCATTTACATAGCATCCAAGATATTTAAAATGTTGTACTCTTTCTATATCAATATTATTAACCATTAAATTTGTGTTGCTGTACGTATTTTTTCGGCTTACAATCATATATTTTGTTTTATTTATGTTTATTCTTAGTCCATATTGTTCGCTAGTGGTGTTTACCCTGTTTACTAGCTGTTGTAGGCCACTTAAACTGTCGGCAATAAGAACGGTGTCATCCGCGTATCTGATGTTATTAATGAAAACACCATTTACCTTCACACCTTGTTGAATATCGCTAATGGATTCTTCAAATATTTTTTCTGAGTACACATTAAATAACAGTGGCGACAATATGCAACCCTGTCTAACGCCTCGTGAAATGGATATCCCTTCTGTTATATCACCACCGATGTTTACATGTGCAGCTTGTTGCCAGTACAAATTTTTAATGCATCGAATTTCCTTGTCATCAATATCAATGTTTTGAAGAATTTCTATAAGTTTATCATGTTTCATGCTGTCGAACGGTTTCTCGTAATCGATAAAACAGAGAAAAACGTCTTTGTGAACATCTTTACAGTTTTGAACTAAAACTTGAATACATAATAGTGCTTCCCGAGTTCCAAGTCCTTCTTTAAAACCAAATTGTGATTTTTCCATTACTTTTTCACATTTTTTGTATATTCTGCCGTGTATAATTTTTAGAAATATCTTTAGAGCATGTGACATAAGACTGATAAGTCTGTATTCACTACAGTTTTTTGCATTTTTCTTCTCAGGTAGTGTTATGAAGGTAGATTTTACCCAGTCGTCGGGATATTGTCCAGTATCGTATACATGATTAAACAATTTTACTAATAGATTAGTATTTTCTTCATCAATTAATTTCAAAATTTCAGATGGAATCTCGTCTGGGCCAGTTGCGTTATTGTTTTTCATCGATTGTATAGCTTTCTTAACTTCGTCTTTAGTTATATTTCCAGTTGGCATATTTGTAAAATAAATATCATTATTTAGTCTACTGCTATCAGAAAAAACCTTTTCAATATATGATTTCCAAATTCTTTTCTTTTCATTTATGTCAAAAACTATTTCGTTGTCATCATTAATGAGAAATGAAGGAGAGTTTTTTCGGTAAATTCCTGCAGTCTGTTTCAGTTTTTTGTGTAGATTAAAGTCATCATGTATTGATTGTAATCGTTTAATTTCGTGGTATTCATTATTTACCCAAACTATTTTCGCTGTACGGATCTTACTTCTGATGTCTCTGTTTAATTGCCAATATAGATCTTGTTGTGTATTTTTATACTGACGACGTTCATTTATCAATTTCACTATATCTTCGGTCAACCAATGATTTTTTATTTCTTTCCTATATGATCCAAGAGTTTCTTTTGATGAAGATGTAATCGTTGTCCCATATATCGTTGTTCCCATATATTATTTGGATTCCTAGAATCAATATTACTAATGCGATTATTTTTTAATGAACATTTTATGTCATCTTTTCGTAGTTTTTCTAAGTTGAGTTTAAGCTTTGGTTTCTTTTTGCGATTTGATGCTAATCTTATGCAAATTTTCGCCATTAGAAGATTCTGATCAGATGGTACATCTGCGCCTGGGTAAGTTGTAACTTTCTTAACTGAAGAGCAAAAACGATCATTAATTAGGATGAAGTCTATTTGATTTCTGATAATGTTATCAGGAGTATCAGATGGAGATTTCCACGTATATAGTCTACGAGGTGGTAGATTGAACAAAGTGTTTGAAATCTTTAGTTTATATTCTTGACAGAATTGTATTAGTCGATCTCCTTTATCATTTCTTTCACCTAGTCCATACTGGCCCACAACTCCTTGAACTTCTCCTCTTCCAACCTTTGCATTAAAGTCTCCTTGAATAATGTTTGTTTCATGTGATTTGGTCAGTCGCATAAGTTCATTTAATTCAGCATAAAAAGATTCTATTTCCTCGCTTTTGTCAGCAGTTGGAGCATATACTTGAATAATATTTATATTAAGTGGTTTGGCATTTATTTTCACCATCATAACCCTATCGGATGTGGAAATGAATCCAGTGACAAATTTTGCAATATTCTTTTTCATTAGTATGCCTATTCCATTACGATGATGTTTGCTTTGGTTGCCGAAGTAATAAATCTTTGTGTTTTGAGAAAAGAATTCTCCGCAGTCAGGCCACCATGTTTCGCTTACGCCGAGTATATCAATATTGTGTTTCTTCATTTCTAAAATCGTGTTAGCTAATTTTCCTGCTTCATACAAGCTTCTAGTATTCCATGTTCCAATGTTTAAAGTTTGTTTAGTTTTACCTCCGGGGATTCTTAGCACCCTCGTATTGCCGGAGACTGAGGGCCTTGATTGTGGTTGTACTTCCATTGTTACATGATATGCTTCTGAAGGGTTTATTGTTTTCCGTCAATACACATTTATATAGCGGGCCAAATATATTTGTCCGCTTTCAGCCGTACCTCTGGTATCAGACGCTGAAACGTTGTGTTCAAATAAAAAGTGTTATATTTCAGGAAGGGTAGCACAAAAACACACGCGTCTACTTTGAGAGTTTAATGGAAACTGAAACTGCTTTATTAATATATTCATGTTACAATTTTATAATGTAATACATACAAAGATATTCTTAATACTACATATACAATATAAGAGGGAAAGATAAATACATAACAAAAGGAATTACATTATTTACATGCATAAAGTCTTTTATAGCTGCTTTCTTAAGTTTCAACTTCTATATTTTATATTGTTGATCTTATAGTTTAAAATATTTAAATCCAAACAAAAAAACATAGGCTTCGAAAAATGTTTGATTCAATTTTTACTATTTTTTTAACTTTCAATAAAACTTTTATTATTGTAACTCACTATTTTAAAATTGAAAATTGTCGAAATTGGGCGATAGTTACTAGTTTCAGAGCTAGATGTTTTTGATTTAGGTATGGGAACAACTTCAGCAGTACGCCAACTTTGTGGATAAATACCTTTCTCCAAAATGTTATTGTATAATTTGATTAATCTATTTATTAGGATTGTTGGAAGATTAAGTAACATGGGGTATGATATACGATCGCAATCCGGGGTTTTTCCCTTAACCTTGCAAATGACGCTACTAAATTCAACTATTGTAATATCAATCTCGATTTTCTTAGCCGCGGCAGATAATGATGTACGGCTATAATCATACTGAAAGAAAAAACTTTTATTAGTTATAAATTGTTGAGAAAAGTGACAATCTTTGGAGAAATTAGACCAGGTTGTACCAAAAAAATTTGCAATATCTTTACTTAACGTCAGGAGATTTGAGCCGGTGTTAATGGAGCTTATTATAGTGTTATTGTATCTGCCTGTTAGCCTATTTATGTCAGCCCAAATCTTTTTTGTACTTGAATTTGGGTTTATTTTGGATGTCAACTTTTCCAAGCTTTCAGATTTTGCGGCTTTAACTTGCTTTCTAAATAGTGCGTTGGCCTTTTTATACAAAACTAAATTAGAATAGGACCTAAATCTTTTAAAATTTTGCCAATAAAATTGTTTTTCGTTTCTTAGTTGTTGTAAATTGGAATTCCACCATGGTATTTTGGATTTAACATATGATGGCTTTGTCTGTGGGATCGCAATATTTGCTGCAGATCTAATAATTTTAGCCAAATTGGCTGCTTCTTTATTATTATCGTCTACTATATTGAATTTGTTATTGTTTTGTTTAAAAAGTTGTTGGAATTTGTCCCAATCCGCAAAATCGATTTTGAACTTTAGTCTTGGCTTAAATTTATCATATTGGAGATTTGATAGTAAGCTAATTACAATAGGGAAATGGTCACTGCCGTGCAGATTTTGAAGTATGTTCCAGGCACATTTAGGTGTGAGGGCGGCTGAACACATTGTAAGATCTATGTGAGAAAATGTGTTGCGAGTAGAAAAATGTGTGGGAGACCCATCGTTTAAAATAACGAGGTTTTCGCTTAAAATTACATCTTCAATAATTTTACCCCTGGTGTTGCATACATTGGAACCCCATAAAGGACTCCAGGCATTAAAATCTCCTGTAGCAATAAAAGGAGTATTAATATTATTAAAAGAATTTCTAATATCAAAGGCTGAGATTAATTGTTGAGGCGGAATATATAAATTAATAATGTTACAATCAAAACCTGCAGTAATTGTAATGGCCATTGAACAAATATTTGAGTTGTAGTATATATGTTTATGTGGAATATGTTTTTTTATTAAAATTCCTATGCCTTGTTTGGCTGTAGTATTTATGGGAAGGTTGTGAAAATATCCCACAAAACTTTTAGGTGTTATTATATTATTTCTGTTGAAAGCTATATGAGTTTCTTGTAGAGCAATAATATCCGGGTTTATATCTTTGATTAAAAGTTTTAGTTCAAGATAATTATTTATATAGCCTTTAATATTCCACTGAAGTATTTTTAACGACGTAAAAAAGTGAAATAAAAAGAAAATAATCTATGTAAAAAAAAAATAAAATAAAATTTGTGCAAAAAAATAAAAAAATAAAACTATAGCGAATAAACATTGTTTTTTATGTTTCTAATTTTTATATTGTAATTTATATTTGTCGAGTTTTTTTTGCACTTCATCATCGCTTAAAACTACATCACTATCTGTTCTAGTAAGAGAATCTTGACTAGTAGAGAGTCTATTTCTAAATTTAGGGATAGTTCCAATTATTGTGTTTATTGTAGAAATATTTGATTTAAGATCGTGTGTTAAAGAGTTACTTTCTTCTAAGACTGCAGGTTTATGAGTACCAATAGTTGAATGAAAGACCGGTTCCAAATTTTGTTTTTTTTCTCCATCGTTGTTTGTATTAATTCTGCTTGTACTGGAAGAATTGATGGATGATGGTGTGCTTGTAGAACGTAAGCTCGAAGAAGAGAAAGAGTTAATATTTTTGTTATTGTTATTTATTATGTCTCTTGATTGCACTTTCGAAGTTGATGCTTTAACTGGAGAGCTTGTAGAGAGTGTTGTTGTAATTGTATTTTTTGAAACATTATTAGATTGCGGTGTTTTATTAATGCCAGATGAAAACACAGAAGAGAAACTGTTGCTGGAGATATCGGCTGAAGGTAGTGCTTTATATAGTTGTTTTGCTTCCCGCATTGTACATTTATTTTTTGTTTTAATTTTTAATATCTCTTTTTGCTGAAAAAATTTAGTACATTCTTTAGAAAAGGCTGGGTGCTGTTCTGAACAATTAACACAAAATGTACGGGAACAGTCAAACGGGGCGTGAGGGGGCAAACCGCAATTTACACAAGCTGGAGCGTTTCGGCATCTTTTGGCAGTATGACCAAGAACCTGGCACGATTTGCAACGCATTGGGTTTGGTACATACTCACGCACATCAACGGAACGCCAAGAGATTTCAATTTTTCGGGCAAAGTAAATGTGTTAAAAGATAGCAAAACAACTCCGCTGGGATGGGACTGACCTTCGATCATTTTAGGGAACTTGTAGCATTCAACTACGCCCTGCGAACTCAGCTCATTAACTATTTCTTCTTCTGAGATTTTGTTTAAATACGGTGCGTATACAGTTCCTTTTGTTGTGTTCAATTGCTTATGAAGAAAGCATTTGATTGGGCAAATAGTTAATAAATCTTTAGCTGATATAAACTTTTGTGCAGTAGCCATGTCTTTGACTAATAACAACAGGTTACCATCTCTTAGTTCAGAAATCGATATAATTTCTTTACTTATAACGTATAGAGCTTTTTGCACCGCAAAACAAGAGAACTCAGATAAAGGTCTTAGATCGTTGGCAGAGGCAACAACAACATATTTTGGATTAGGCAGTTGAATTTTTGGAAGTCCGGGAAAGTCTGTAATTGTTTTAACATTCGGTCGTTTTTTCTTCGATTGGGGACCATCTGCCAAGAGTGCAAATCTATTTCCCCCTATGAGGGGAGGCCCAGGGGCCATATTTGTGAAACACACAAGTTTAACTGCGTTTTATTTATGCAACTACCGATTTAATGCAGATATATAATAAAACGTGTAACAAACAAAAAAAAAGGCTTAAGTATAAAAAGCTTAGGCGCGAGTAGAAAGAAAAAATAAATAAATAAGAAAAAAATCCCACACAAAAAAAACACGTCTGATCACTATGAATATAAGTTAAAGACATATTTTATTTACGTAATAGCTATTAGCTGGCAAATGTACTTTATATATTTTAATTGAAAAGTATTTTTATAATTTATAATTTTTTTTATTTCTTGTTTCTTAAACTAGCATTTACATTAGAAAATAAAAATTATCATTATTTAATAGGTAAATGCAATGCTGGTATATAATTCTTTTTCATTATATAAGCCCTTTTAAACAGTAAAATGTTTACAAGTTGCTGAATTTAGCTGGGCGCTTCTCGACAAAAGCAGTCATACCCTCCTTACGATCTTCAGTTGAGAAAGTGGCATGGAAGGTTCGTCTTTCGAATTTAAGACCTTCTTGTAAGGTTGTTTCGTAAGCAGTGTTGACAGCTTCCTTGCATAGTTGCACGATCAGACCAGAATGAGAACCGATCTTTTCGCCCAATTTAACAGCTTCACCTACAAGTTTATCAGCTGGTATAACCTTGCTGACAAGACCCATTTTTTCTGCTTCTTCAGCGTTGATCATATTGCCAGTGAGACAAATTTCCATAGCCTTTGATTTGCCTACAACACGGGTCAAGCGTTGGGTGCCACCAGCACCGGGAATGGTACCCAAAGCAATTTCAGGTTGTGCAAACTTAGCTTTGTCACCAGCGTAAATAATATCGCACATCATAGCCAATTCACAGCCACCACCAAGTGCATAACCATTAACGGCAGCAATGATTGGTTTTTGGCAACGTGCGACACGTGTCCAATCATTCAAGAAATTACCCATGATACATTGTGAATATGTATTCGGTTGCATTTCTTTGATATCAGCACCAGCTGCGAAAGCCTTCTCACTGCCAGTGATGACGATGGCAGCAATGATCTTGTCCTTTTCAAAAGAATCCAAAGCGGTGCTCAGCTCCTTCATGAGGCCATTGCAAAGTGCATTCAAGGCTTTTGGACGGTTCAAAGTGATGACTGCAACATTTTTCTTCTCACCGGTTACTTCAGTCTTAATGAATTCCAAATTGGCAGCAGCAGAATAAAAACGTGGAGCCAATTGTGGATTCTTAGCTGCAACTTGGATCACGTTGCGTACACGTCCAGCAAGTGTCTTTGCAATATTAGCCATGGTATATAATTTTATATATATTTTTATATATGGTATGTAATTTACAAATTTTATGTTATTTGCTATATGTGCCTTCGTGCAGATTGCTTCGTCTACTGATGCTTTATTTCAATAGTG